CTTCTGTTAGTTTTCTAGTTTTTTTGATGTTGCTCCTCTAGCTCTTTCAATTTTGACGATAGGGTATCAATTTTCGATCTCTTCTTGCTTCTCGTGTGGGCTTATTGCTATATATTTTCCTCTAGAGACTGCTTTAAATGTGTCCCAGAGATTCTGGTATGTTGTGTCTTCGTTCTTGTTGCTTTCGAAGAACATCTTTTTTTCTGCCTTCATTTCATTGTTTATCCAGTCAACATTCAAGAGCCAGCTGTTCAGTTTCCATGAAGCTGTGCGGTTCTGCATTAGTTTCTGCATTCTGAGTTCTAACTTGATTGCACTGTGGTCTGAGAGACTGTTAGTTATGATTTCCATTCTTTTGCATTTGCTGAGGAGTGATTTGCTTCCAATTACGTGGTCAATTTTAGAGTGGGTGTGATGTGGTGCTGAGAAGAATGTATATTCTGTGGATTTGGAGTGGAGAGTTCTTTGCTAACAAGCAAGTACTCAGAGATTTCATCACCACCAGGTCTGCTTTACAAGAGCTCCTGAAATAGGCTCTACACATATAAAGGAACAACCAATATCAACCACTCCAAAAACATACCAAATGGTAAACAGCATCAACACAAGAATCTGCATCAACTAACATGCAAAACAGCCAGCTAGCATCAAAATGGCAGTATCAAATTCACACATAACAATATTAACCCTAAATGTAAATGGAATAAATGCCCCAATCAAAAAACACAGACTGGCAAATTGGATAAAAAGCCAAAACCCATGGGTGTGCTGTATCCAGGTAACCCATCTCACATGCAAGGATACACAAAGGCTCAAAATAAAGGGATGGAGGAAGATTTACCAAGCAAATGAGAGCAAAAGAAAGCAGAAGTTGCAATTCTCACCTCTGATAAAATAGACTTTAAAGTAACAAAGATCAAAAGAGACAAAGAAGGACGTTACATAACGGTAAAAGGATCAGTACAACAAGAAGAGCTAACAATCCTAAATATACATGCCCCCAAGACAGGAGCACCCAGATACATAAGGCAAGTTCTCAATGACTTACAAAGAGGCTTAGACTCCCACACAATAATAGTGGGAGACTTTAACACCCCATTGTCAATATTAGACAGATCAACCAGACAGAAAATTAACAAGCATATCCAGGACTTGAACTCAGACCTGGAACGAGCAAACCTAATAGGCATTTACAGAAATCTCCACCCCAAATCCACAGAATATACATTCTGCTTTAGTTCTTTGTAGATTCTAGATACTAGCCCTTTGTCAGATGGGTAGTTTGACTTTTTAATAGTAACTATTCTGACTGCTGTTAGATAGTATCTGATTGTAGCTTTCATTTGCATTTCTCACCAGTGATCCTGAGCTTTTTAAAATTATGACTGTTTTCAATTTGGTTACTAACTGAAGAGCTCACAAAGAGCTTAGAGGGGGTTTAGGGTGATCTTTGGATCCCATAAGGAAGTTGGCCCCAGCGTGGGGCCAGCCTTTACTGGCTGGAACATTGCTCACTCCTGAACTGCTGCATCTCATATCTTGGACCTCTGACAAAAGGCCTTCATAGGTCAGATTTCTTCCTGTCAGCTTCTTGGAGCTCTGCTGTGGAAGCAGGTTGAGGCAAGAGTGGTAAGATTCAGAGTCTTCTTCCCTCTCTAAATTGGAATTGGCAGAAGAAAATACTTGTAAACTAGTTATTTTGGTTAAAAAAAAAATGCCTTTTGGTGTCTTGTGAGTACTCTTCATTTCTATTTGATCCTTTTGATCTCAGAAATAATTTGTCTTCCTTCATCTTTGTCTTTTTGTGTCATTTGCCATAAGGAAATGACATAAGGTACAGCACACAAGTACAGGTCAGTGTCAAAAGACTGAGGAATGGAGGCACATGATTTTAAGCAGCACTTTCTTTGTCCTAACATGCCAACCTCTCACGGTTTTTGCCATCTCAACCTTCTTCCCTGGATTTGTGCTGGGAAATTCCCATCCCAGTGTTGCCTGCCCAGTGTCACAGAGTATCATTTCAATGATGGAAGGTGTCTCGCATTCAGTAAGAGACGAGAAATCTGAGTCAATTTTTGGATCATGGAGGCTGCATTTTCTATGCTCACTCCAGACAGACCCCTTGTATCCCTAGCAAAGGTTTATTTTAATTCTAGAAAGTTATCTTCTGTGGTCTTTCCACAAAAGCCTTGTTGAATTAAGTCCTATTTGACTCTATATACCAGTGAAGATACTAATTATTAATTGAAAGAAGACAGATCCTTTGAATTAGAGAGACTATATATATATATATATATATATATATATATATATATTTGAGACAGTGTCTTGCCCAGGCTGGAGTACAGTAGCACAATCTCAGCTCACTACAACCTCTGCCTCCCAGGTTCAAGCAATTCTTCTGCCTCAGCCTTCCCACAAGCTGGGACCACAGGGATGTACTACTACGCCCATCTAACTTTTGTATTTTTAGTAGAGACAGAGTTTCACCATATTGGCCAGGCTGGTCTCAAACTCTTGACCACAAGTGTTCTGCCTGCCACCACCTTCTACAGTGCAAGGATTACAGGCATGACCCACCATGCCCAGCCCAAGACTTCTATATTAAAAAAAAAAAAAAAAAAATTAGATAACACTCATTCTAAACAATTGGCCTATTGGGATTTATGGGAAGATCAGATAAAATCAAGAACTCAGGAAAGTATTATGGCTAGTGGTAAGATTTTTCTTAACAAAATTGAAGAACTAAAAGTAGATGTAGAGCAAAAGTTGAAATCCAGGCTCACTCTAAGGCCTCCTGCTCCAACCACTTACATACCACTTGATTCCCTGCTGTGTCCCTGAACAACCAGAAAATCGATTGGATCTCTTGGCTTCTGGTTTGAACACCTAGAAGCAGCATTTTTCTCCAATAATCCTTCAGGATACTCTGGTGAGTCTTCAGTGCCTCCAGGGCATGGTGATGCTGAAGCATGATGGAGGCCAACCTATCAACTTCTGATTAGAGTATCTTCATTTTATGGCTTTTATTTTAGGTTCAGGAGTACAAATGCAAGTTTGTTATATATGTAAATTGGTGTCAGGGGGATTTGGTATACATATTATTTCATCACTCAAGTAATAGGCATAATATCTGATAAGTACTTTGTCACTTTTCTACTGGAGTGTTTTTAATATTTGAACCAACACCCATACCAAAACTGCACCTAACAAAATCATCATCATATCCTTAATATCATTAAATACTCAGTCCATGTTTAAATTATTCCAATTGTCTCAAAGACATATTTTTCCAGTTATTTTGAATCAAAATTAGAATGAATTTTTTTTAATAATAATACGTTTTCAGAGTAATGATACCCTAAAAATCATTAATGGTAACTGCTGATTTCTTATATATTTTATTTTTTAGTATCTAGATATAAACATACATTAGGCTTTTAAATTAATTGCCTCAATATTCATTTTTATGTTAAAATGTTCTAACAATAACCCAGTGGAAGCCATTTTAAATCACTTCCTATGTGTCTTACAGACAATCTGATTAGCTGTTCACGGTATTCTAGCTTCCTGGAACATTGAACAGCCCAAGGCTCATCTTATGCATTTTCCGTCCTAGACTTCAAATTAGCCATTTCTCTAAGAAACCCTAGTTCTGTTTAGGGGGAAAAGGTTTCTTTTTAGAGAAAATTTGAGGAATAAGAATGTTCACAGAAACCAGGTTATAGGTTTTAGTAGTAATTAGGAGAAAAATTTTATTTCAAAGCAAATTTCTAATTCAAATCAAGATTAAATGATTTTTATTTACCTTTTCAAAGTTTAGAACTGTAACTCTTTTCTCATATGCTGGCAAACTTTGTTTTAATAACATTTAAGTAATTACTTATCTTTACTATCTACTAAGTTTGCTTCTATCTCTTCCTATTGCTTTTTGTTTTGCCTTTCTTCTTTCACATATCTTACCATACTATAAAATTTTTCTGAATCTTGTCAAATAAGTAAATACAATAAGGCAATTGACATAAATCATAATGAAGTCACAAACAAAGCATCATAGTGCATATAATTCAATACAGAAAAGAAATGTGGTTTGAGTACATACGGAAAGTGTGAAATAACAGGCAGTTCAGCAAAACCAAAAACACATGAAAAGAACATGAACAGAGATTAAAATTCCTTTTATAAGTGTCAGTAAGCATCTCTTTCTTAATGCATTTTAGAGTTAGTGTGAAGACATAAAGATAAAGTAAGAGAAGACAGTTAATTCAGAAATGCTGCAATTCATAATAATGCTTCTAAATGATTACGTGCACATGTTTATATATATAATATATTTATGTATATAGCAAAGATAGAGAGAAAGAGAGAGAACTACTAATTATGTTTCAGGGATTATTCTAAGCTTCTTGTATGTGATTCCAGCTTCTTTAATTAAATTTTCCTAGAGTCCTATGAAATTATTATGTTCTTCATCTATCAGATAATATAGCAGCCAAAGTTCCAACAATACTGGAAACTAAAACAACAGCAACAAAATAATAAAGAATAAAACAAAATAAACCAAAAAGTTAAAAATGATAAATATACACACATTTTATGTATATGTATGGAATATATATGTGGAATACATATATATTATCTACATATTCCATATATATATGTAATTCTACAAACTTCAATGATGGTATAATCATCAATATAGAATAATGAAAATTTCGTTTTGAAAAGAATCATAGTTTCATAATGTATATTGAAATAAATGTAATAATAAGTTCTTCATTAGAAGACTTGTAATGATTTTAGAGAAAACTAAACATTTCTATCTTAACAATACTGTTCCTCACATTCATTTAAAACATTCCATATTTATTTTTAAAAAGTTGGTGGCAAATTTTGAAATATGTTCGATCCTACTCCTTAAAGTTTAAGAAGCACAAAGTGAATCAAAAAAGGCTTACTCATAACTTACTCATAACTAGTGAAGAGAAGAGTTCCTTCTTCCCTTCACTCCAACACTGCATCCCTCCTGTGAACCCCCCACCTGCCACTAATTGGGAATCTTGAATCTGCTAGTAAAGTCTTCCCTAGGAGTGAATTTTGAAGCCAATCACTTTTCTGAGAGCTTCTTTCACATCATTATTCCTCAGGCTGTAGATCAGGGGGTTCAGCATGGGTATCACAACCGTGTAGAACACGGTGGCCACTTTGTCAGCATCTCCATGGTTGCCTGAGCTGGGCCTGCAATAAACAGAAAGGAGTGTTCCATGGAAGACAGTGATGGCTGTGAGGTGGGAGGCACAGGTGGAGAAGGCTTTGCGCCTGCCCTCTGCAGAGCGCATCTTCAGGATGGTGGTGAGAATTAGTAGGTAGGAGGTGAGGACGATCATGATGGTAACACTCTCATTTAAAGTGGCCACCAGGAACAGCAGGGCCTCATGTATACCAATATCAGAGCAAACAAGACTTAAGAGAGGAGGTAGGTCACAGAAGAAGTGGTTAATGACATTGGATCTATAGAAGGGGATCCTAAGAGCTAAGCACAAGTGAATCAGAGAACACACCATCCCGCAGAAGTAGCAGAAAGATACCAGCTCTACACACAGCTTCTGAGACATGGTGATCATGTACAGCAGGGGATTACAGATGGCCACAAAGCGGTCATAGGCCATCACAGCCAGCATGAAGACTTCAGTGACCACACAAGTGCAAAACAAGTAGAATTGTACCATGCACCCCAGGAAGGAGATGGCTTTGTCCTTGTTAAAGATATTAGCCAACATCTTCGGCACAATTATTGAGGAGTAGCAGAAATCCACAAAGGACAAGTGGCTGAGGAAAAAGTACATGGGGGTGTGGAGCCGAGAGCTGACCTGAATCAGTGCAATCATGCCCAGGTTTGCTAACACCGTGACTCCATAGATGAGAAGGAACAGCAGGAAGAGACAGACTCTCAACTCCAGGGCGTCTGATAGTCCAAGGAGAATGAACTCAGCTACGGTGGTGCAGTTTTCCTTGCCCATGTCTCCAATTTATATGAGAGAGGAGGAAAAAACAAACTTAAAAATTATTCTCTATTATATAGTCTAAAATTTAGTTTTGGCTCTATCCTGTAAAAAGTTATCAGAAAAAGTAGAGTAGTTAATTTTATCAACAAAGAACTTTTTTATCAGAAAAACTTTTGTGAAATTTTATAAATTTCTGTCATTGTATAATACAAGTGCATAAAATGTACAGTTTATTTCAAAGATCAAACAAAAATATTAGCATTTATATTAATTTGTATAGTTCTTTTAATTAGTCTTTCACAATCGAGAGCTTTGCACTGAATAACTGGGAATGAGGTGAAGTTATTATTTAATTAGTGTCCTTACTCTTTCAAATTCAAATCCTATTTTCTTAGCTAACTCCAGATATTGGGATCCTAGAAAATAACGTTTAGAATATATACTACCTCTCTGAATTTTTCACTACAATGGGGAGAAATACATTTATTTAAGATATTTACAGTCAAGTGTTCATACTTTATTAATATATTTCAGTTGAAGAAACTCATTATATAATCTGTATTAGTATTTTCTCTATAAAATTAGCATCGTGATTTGGTTAATTACACTCTTCAATGTCAACCATGGTTCGGGGAATTGATACTCTTGAGGACAACTTACTGTAACTATGACTCTTCAGTCTTAAAAAAATTATGTGTTAAATAAATTTACTTCTTTCAATCTGTTTGAAGACCTGATCAAAGATGTGTACAGAAAATTATTAAGAAAAATTTCCACTACCACACTGAGGTATCATTTGCAATACTAAAACTTAGAAATAAAATATCAAATAAGAGAAAGATTATCACAATTGTAGTATATATAATAAAAAAGCATGCAGTTATATAAAGGATAATTTTAAATCATTTCAATGATGTCAGTACATGACTCTGAAAAGGGATAAAATAGTTTAAAAAACAGCCAGAGTGTAGAGAAAAAATATTGTATATATTACGATAATGCATAAATTAAATATATACATTTGTTCCATATACACAAACAAGTTGAATCATATATTTAATCCTTACAACATCCAATAACATAAATATTTTTTAAGAAAATTCATTAACTTGTCTGACTTCTCCCAAAACATCATTATTATGGAGTGAAATGGAGAAAGAGGGTGAAATTTTTAAAATTAGGGACACACTTTTCAGACCTTTGACACACAGCAAATGTAAAGTGAGAGTGAGAATCCTCTCATTCTTTCATTTCCTTACCCTTGATAGATTCATACATCATTGTAGAGGCACCAATCAAGCACTCAAGAAAGAAAAAATTCTGGGCTAGAGACCAGCCCAACCAGCTTTTTTTCCCATTCTTCAAGTGATTTCAAAGATAGACAGCATGCATATTATTAAATGACAGACTGAAAACTTTAAAAAACTGTTCTGATGATATTTTCTCTCTTAAAATGACCAGGAGAAGTGAGTTACATATCTTTCCCTGAATTCAAACTAGTACATACTTTGAAAGCTCTTTCCTATTTTAAAATCTAAAGAAAATAATCAAGCTGTTAATTGTACATAGGGCAGTGATTGTTTGTCAAGAGTGACTTTGATTCCAATGACATATTTGTCGATGTCTGCAGACATTTTTGGTTGTTAGGGGAGAAAGGCAGTGCTATTGACATATAGTGGGGATGCTGTTGAACACTCTACGATGCCCTCTACAAAGATGAGGGTCCCTGCCTGCAGCACACACAACAAAACGCTGTCTGGACCAAGATTTCAGTGGTGCCTTCAATGAGAAACCTGTCATAGAGAGGCATTTCAACATGCTTTTCAGTAAGACAAAGTAATTCCTCTTCTTTCTGTTTCAGAGGTGGTTCTCATGTCCATGTCCCTCTATGAACAGTCCTATTCCTGTTACCTCTTGCTGTCACCCTCAGCACAAAGGTGACTTTGGAGATAATCTCCATGCTGTCTTCATTAGGTTCCACGGACAGAGTTAGCGTGATAGAGGGGAAAGAGAAATGGCTAGAGAAAACAAGCGTTCATCCCAATTTGTTCACACTGCTTTCCATCTCACACTAATAGTTGTTTTAAGATATTTGGTACTTAAGATATTAAACAGGTTTCACTTCCCACCAAATTGTTCCTTTTAACACACTGAGAAAAATATTTTCATTAAGGAGTTTTTCAAGCATAGCATTTTAAAAAATATTCTCTGATTAAAAAAAAATAAAGCGCAGATTTTAAAAATTATCTAATACTATTTTCTTTCTTTAGAATTCCTCCTTTGGCAATGTATGATTATAATAAATTACCTCCATGAGGAACAAAAGTCAGGCTTCTACCTCCCGGAAAATATCACTATGTTCATTCTCAAAAATACAAAATGTAGTTCAACCAGCTAACCTATTGGACAAACATTGCTTCTCCTATTTCTGAAGACGTTATGATGTAAAATGCTGTGTTTTATATTGTGTGTGTGTGTGTGTGTGTGTGTGTGTGTGTGTGTGTGTGTCTCCCTGGGGCCCATGTTTCATAACCTTCCCAAAACAATCAATGATCTCTGTAGGATATAAACAAGATATCAAGGAAACCACGGTATCTTGGGACTCCAACAATTAATGAGCACTATGGCATATAAATGGGGTGAGAAAAAATCCAATTTGGTACATATTATTGTAATATAACACAATTACATTCAGAGTTCATGATGAATTGCAGAACATTGAACACCACATCCAGGCATTGTCTCTGTGAGCCAGTAGTCACATTGCCATTATGAAATACATGAATAGGTCTTATAAACTTTGTCTTATTATACTCAAAAACTCCTTCCTACAGGGTATGAGTCTGAAACCCCACCAGAGATTCTCCAAATACCAGAAAGGGGTGGGAATAATGAATCTCTTTTACTAAGAATAATAATGGGTTACATTTACTGAGTACTTCCCCTGTGCCAGGTATTATTCTAAATACAACTGTGAACACATGTTTTCTCAGAAAAATGGTTAACATCAGTACTGTTGTAATTTCCCACTAAAAAAATAAGGTTATGGAGGTAGAGCAGGTATAACTTGCCCACACTCACATACAGAATCCCTGGGAGAGAGAGACAGGCCAAATGTAACTTTTTGGTTGTGCCGTCTGTGCATTTGTAAGGAAGCGCAGAGCTCCAGGATGGTACTAGTGTGGGAGACTCCCTATTCAATGCTGGTGGTCATTAAATGGGAATATCTCAAGGATCTCCCCAAGCTCTGCTTCCTTCTTGACTAATACAGCAATGTCAACCTGATCAAACAGTGTTCAAATTGCAGTCTGTGTGCTGCTAGAGAATCCAAACATTTCAATCATTCCATGGATGTAATGAGTTACAATATATATGTGCTTTCCAAAATTGATCTGTGAATTCTCTGAATTGGAAGAGGCTATCTGGGTCTCCTTTTGTACCTAATATTCTCACAACCACTTTTCTCTCACTCTTTAAAAGCAAGGACTTTCTCAACTCCAGTTACATCTCACCATGCCAGTCACTCTGATGAGAAAAACAAAAGCAAAAATGAAAAGCCTAAACCTGAAGTGCTGCTATCCATGAGGGCCGAAGTTGTCTTTAATCAAAACACTTCAAACCCATAGTACGACTTGTTTCTCTATGGTGTTTTTAAATTTCTTTTCATGGAAAAGAAAGGCAGTTGACGCGTGTCCTAGCCAGCTTAACCTTGGCCAGGCACGATGACTAGCAACTGTAAACCCAGAACATTGGGAGGCCAAGCTGAGCAGATTGCTTGTTGACCTTTGGAGTTTAGAACAGCCAGGGAAACATGGTGAAACCCTGTCTCTACCAAAAAACACAAAAATTAAACAGGCCTGGGGGCATGAACCTGTAGTTCCAGCTACTTGGAAGATGAGATGAGAGATAGCTTGAGCCCAGGAGTTCCAGGCTTCAGTGTGCTGTATTTGTACCACTGTGCTCCAGCCTGGGTGGCAAGAGAGATCCTGTCTCATTAAAAAAAAAAAAATTGGTTATTGAGTATGAGTATACGCATAATATATACATATTGATGTGGTTTGGCTATGTCCCCATCCAATCTCATCTAGAATTCCCAAGTGTTGTGGGAGGGACCCAGTGGATTTGAATATGATTTTTTTGAATTTGAATTATGATTCAATATTCAATCATAATTGAATCATGATGGCAGTTCTTTCTGGTTCTGTTTTCACAGTAGCAAATAAGTCTCATGAGATCTGATTGTTCTATAAGGGGAAGTTTCCCTGCACAAGCTCTCTATTTGCCTGCTGCCATCCATGTAAGATGTGATTTGCTCTTCTTTGCCTTCCACTATAGCTGTGAGGCCTTGCCAGCCATGTGGACTGACTGTAAGTTCATTAAACCTCTTTCTTTTGTAAATTGTCCAGTCTTGGGTATGTCTTCATTAGCAGCGTGAAAATGAACTAACACAGTAAATTGGTATCAGTAGAGTGTGGCACCGCTGAAAAGATGCCGAAAATGTGGAAGGGATTTTGGAACTAGGTTAACAGGCACATGTTGGAACAGTTTAGAGGGCTCAGTTTAGACAGGAAAATGTGGGAAAATTTGGAACTCCCTAGAGACTTATTAAATGGATTTGTCCAAAATACTGATAATGATATGGACAATGAAATCCAGGCTGAGCTGGTCTCAGATGGAGATGAAAAATTTGTTAGGAAGTGGAGCAAAGGTGACTTTTGTTATGTTTTAGCAAAGATACTGGTGGCATGTTGCCACTGCCCTAGAGATTTGTGGAACTTTGAACTTGAGAGAGATGATTTAGTGTATTGGGAAGAAGAAATTTCTAAGCAGCAAAGCATTCAAGATGTGACTTGGGTGCTGTTAAAGACTGTCAGTCTCAAAAGGGAAACAAAGCATTAAAGTATGGAAAATTTCCACTCTGACAATGGAATAGAAAAGAAAACCCCATTTTCTAAGGAGAAATTCAAACCAACTGCAGAAATTTGCATAAGTAACAAGAAGCCAAATGCCAATCACCAAGATAATTGGGGAAATGTCTCTAGGGCATGTCAAAGACCTTTGTGGTAGCCCCTCCCATCACGGGCTCAGAGATTTAAGAGGGAAAAA